CCGTCTGGATGTTATTCTTATTGGATTGGATTAGTTTTTATTGTTTGCTTGCTGTGTTTGGAGTTAGCCATTGTGTTGGCTTTCAGAGGAGGCCGTAATAGGCAGTGAGTTTTAATCCTGGGCTAGCATGGCTATCTGCTTGTAGCAGGTGATCTATTGCCTAAGGCTGTAGGTAAGCGGTTTAGTAAATCTCATCCCCTCCAGACGTTTCTCCTGGGAACTGAAACTTGTCTTCTGACATCTCTGGGCACACAACATTTCTTTTTCCTGGCGCCGTGTCTTGTATTTTCAGGGTGGGCGTAATAATTGCAATAATAGTTCTCTCTGTGCCGGCCCCGCCACATGGCCAGGTTGGAGTATCAAAATAGCTGTTGACAGAATGGGGGTGGCTCCCATGTTTTTATTGGGATGTCTGGAAGCCATGACGGACTGGTGGCGGAGAGACAGCGTTAGAGGCGTCTCCTGTCGCCGAACGGAGACGCGCCGCACCATCTGGTACATGCTCTAATGCACATGCTCCAAAATGTACAGTGGCCTGCCAGAAGGGGTAGATGTCCCGGGGGTGGGTGGGGGGGGACGTCTGATGAGTCGTAGCACAGCAGCAAGAGGAGAGATTTAGATTTTGGTCACCTGCAGTTGATAGTTGCTGGTAGTTACTGATATTAATCTGGGATGGGACAGAATCAGTAATAAGGAATGTTATAGGAATGACATTCTGGCACGGACATCAAACATGAGCCCTCATTAAGCTTTCTTTTTTTTGTTTTGTTTCCTCTGTAGCCGTTTTGCAGTCTTATGTCAGAGCAAAACAATTTCCCCTTGGTTTAAGAGGAGGCAGCAGTCTGCACGGTGAATGTGAAAGGCCCGAATTCGTACTTTACATTGTCTTTCAGAAGTGTCTATTGATAATCCAGTGAGTGATAGTGATATTGCAAAGAGAAGCACAACCACACAGTGTGTGACTGGTGGTCTGTAGGTAGAATTACCACCCCATTCTCCATAAAACCAACATTTCCTTAACGCTATTGTCAGATTTAAATGGCACTGAGGAATGCTTAAAAACTGTCACACTGGTCCTGTTTCCTGTTGGTCATTTCCTCGGGCTGTGGGGTCCTCCTTCTGTCTCTGCACATTAGGGTCAACTCTGCTGGCCCAATAATAAGGTACATAGCTCTGCTTTCATCTGATGTGCCCAACAGATACTGAAGGTCTTTTTTTTTTGTGTGTGCTTGAATTAGGGCTGGATCAGTGAGCTGCAGATCTCAGGAGAGTGTCACAGAGTAGCATGGCATCCCCCCAAGGTGTGTCTCTCTCTCTCTCTCTGGCGTATGTCTGAGGCTCTCCGACTGGTGCCAACCTCTTACTGCCTCTGCACAGCCCCCCGCTGACAGTGTTACGTGCAAATGTCAGCCATGATGATGATGTTAATGATTTGGAAAGAGGGTGGGGCTGAATATTAAATAATTGATTTAAAGGGTTCAGTGTTCCTTCCTTAATATAGCCCCCCTGCAGTTATTTGGAGGTCTTTGTTTTTTTTATTAATTTTTTTGGGCATTTTGACAGATACAAATGTTTTTTCATTCAGTTTTAATTTAAAGTTATTCATTCGGACTGTGTGCTGTTTTAGTTGCTTGTTCTTCACAGATATTTCCTTTGTGTTCAGCATTAGTCGCTGCTCTTTCCGTGGTAACCACATCACACACCACACAGTCTCACAGGAAGTTGGCCGTTTGGATAAGGCCTTCGCTAGACTTAAGCAGAATAACCGTGCCCTTCTGATTCCTTAGCAGCCTTCAACTGCCCAAGTATCTTTAGGATAGTGTAATGGCACCAGGTTTCAAATTAATATATCCAATGGTTAAATATAATCACGTAGATTCAGATTTCAGTGCTTTGATTTGAGGTGATCATCACTGAACACAAGGCGCTGTCAGACTCCCTCAGCTTGGTCCAGCTGCCACTTTGGTTCACTAAAATCAAAGTCCGTGTTGGTGTGAGGACAGCTTGTCTGTGGGTCCATCATACATCACACGTTTTGAGAACATTTCGGTACGGCATTACTACTGCCAGCTACTTCATCTACATTAAGAAATTAGAGCCCAACCACATTAAGCAGGCCACACAAGCTTTCACCTTCATCTTGCACTGTCCCTGGTCTCTTTGTAGGCTTACACTCACACAGGCTCATCTCAGCAGGTGCAGGTGAGGGATGATGTTCTTACGTAACAGTCCTGCTGGATTAGAGAGTTTTTGGTTTGGCGTTTGCCCGTGGCGGGGTTAGGAGCTGCCTTTTTCAGTGAAGGGGTCGACATTTGTTTTTTAAACTTTTAGAGGTAGTTCAGTCTGGGAGGCTCAACACAAGCCCTGTC